TAGGCTTCGAATCTTGCTATCTTCGTAGTTCTCTCACAAGAGAAGGTCACGAAGTCGAAGTGGCCGATAACTACAAACTGCATACCTTTAGTGAGAAATTGGAACGCTGATTGCAAATCTGCCTTCCTTATATGCAAAGCGCCTTTGGGAGACAAGTTATGCGCATTTTTGAGGCGAAAAAATGCACCAATGATTGGTAAAATTAGTCAATAGCTCCCCTACTCGTCAAATGGAGAACAAAGAGGTCTGCCTGTTATATTAGGCGGCTGCAAAGACTAATAATATCCCTTCCTTAGTGCATTTTTTCGCCTCCAAAAATGCACATGACTTCTCCTAAAGGCGCTCTGCAGAGAAGGAAAGCAAATTTGGAATGAGCTCTCCAAGTTCCCACTAATGGTATGCAGTTTGTAGTGATCGGCCACTTCTACTTCGTGACCCTCCCTTGCCAGTTCATCGTTGCTTATACGCTATTCTTGTACAAAATTATGAAGTACCATAAGCGATATCTTCTCCCTATTTCTGCCATAAAACTCTTTTGTAGGAGAAATCTGATCTCTACGACAAACTCGCTGAAGGCAAGATGACGCTACAAACCAGTGACGGACTCGATGTTGAATTTCTTGTTGACTTCAATGCCAAAGTCAAGGAACGTCAAGAGAGTCAACTCGCTCAGTCAACCGCGCATGAGACGGAGCCAACCACATCAGCTCCCGCAGAACCTCCTCCGCTGGTCGAGCACTTTGTGCCCGGCGAAGGTAAGCAGCACTAGAATTGTCATGCGGTATCGATTATGATGATTTTTATTTTCAGAGCAAAGGGAATATGGACCTTCACACATGAGGTTCTCGTCAGAAGAGGAGAAACGGCAAGAGCAGATCAAAACCTTGTATAAAATGTCCGCTGAGACGGAAAAGATGCGCGCTAAGAATAGGACCGCAGCAGAAGAGAAAGCTAGAGCCAAGAGGGAGAAGTTGAATGTGTTGCGGAGACGGAAAGGACTACCTGGTTAGCTTTTTTCATTGTTTTTGTTCTAGCCTGCAATAAAAGGCAATGCTATGGTTGCTTTTCAAGCTATAGACATCATGTATATGTGTTCTGAACATCCTTCTAAAATTCTAGAACTCCGTACACCGTCGCCTGAACCTGAGCCAGAACTGCCCGAAGTCAATTTGGAAGAGATTCCCATGCCTATTGAGAAACCGCTGCAAGTAAGTCATACTTTCTCAACTGGTACTTTTCATCCGAATTGATTTTGAATTAAGGAACGTGAGCAGAAACCGGTACGAGAATGGGATCGCGGCAAGGGTCGATACAATACCTGGATTCAAAAGCAAAGGGATGAACGCGAAGAAGAATTCGCTCCGCCCTCCTTTTATTATAAATAGACTATCAATAAATCTATTTACATTGAACTGTTACATTGTATGTAAATGTTAAGGGGTTTTGTCCAATGCGCAATATCTAACTCACCTTTCTTGGTGTATCAAAATTACTATTTTGTGAAAATGGAGTTAATTTATTGTTGAAGTTTCAGATGGCACCATTAGAAAGGTCGCCAACGCCAAATG